AAAAAAAAAAAACAACAACAACAAAGTAGATCGACGACAATGAGTGGACCAACGATCAAAATTAGATGACCAAGGAACTGAAGTTGGATAATCAATGGACGAAGAAGGGGGCGGCAGTGAAGAGATGAAGAGAGAGAGAGAAAGAGTGAGAGGGAATACCAAAAAAATCACACAGAGAAAACCCTAAGACAATGAGGTCCCATTAGAGGAATTGAAAAAAAAACAACGGGGAAAAAAATATAAAAACGGTGTCATTTTGGTAGTTTCTACACTGATAAGGATCTTCACTCTTTTTATATATGTAGGATATATATGATTGAAAACGACTTTTGCCATTGACGTCCTTCGAGACTAGGCATACACAAATTAGGGATAAGTCAATTTCAACTTGTGTCCAAAAATACATCTCAATTCAGCCACTGCCTTTCTATAATCACCTCACTCACTTTAAGGTGTGTGAAGTGTCCTATTGGCTCGTATGCCTCATGGCCAAGCTGCCCACGAGCTTGCCTTTTTTTAAATTGAACAAAAAAAATCTCCTTATTTGAGGTTATGACTAGCTACTTTTAATGTGGAAAGCATTAAAATTAAGCATGAAGAAGTCATTACGTTTACAATTCTTTTCAAAAAGTCAGAAAATTGAAGAAAATTAACATAAACAACACTTACAAATTATGAAGTCAGATTTTGATAACCTTTAATTATTAATGTGTCAACTTTATCTCAGATTCAGAGTTCTACATCTTTCGAGTCATGTAAATACATTAAACTATCTATGCAAGATGCAATGTGTGAAAATTAAGCTACTTGTACATTCCTGACATTCTATTATGTGTAAAAATAGAAGTTATTGATTGTTTTAAGTATTATTCAAATCAATGGCAAAATTGTATACTATATCATGTGATATAAACAAAACTGACAACCAAGTTATAAGTGTAGCAAAATTGTATATGCAATATGCATTTACACGAAGTTCGAAGAACCACATAGATGCCATCTTTCAACTAAATCTACATTTAAATATGAATTTTGATCGGACTTTTTAGGTATTGACTTTAACAAATTGAAACATTCCAGGCTTCCAAAAATTTTAAAACCGGTCTTTATCACTTCTTAGAGTCCAATCTTCTGAAATATCTCTTTCAATAAATTGTGACATTGAAAGAGATATTTTGAAAGATGGGCCTCTAGGAAGTGATAAATAAGGGTTTCACAATTTTTCGAAAAAGCTAGAGATGCGGTCAATTTGTAAAAGTCAATACCTAGAAAGTCCGATTTGGATTCATATCTACATGTGAAACTTTAGGGCATTGAGTTAAATTATAAGCTTTCGAGCCTTGACCTAATAAATATTCTAATATTTGATGAATGTCATAATATAATAGGTTAATCATGATAGTTCATTTGATTGTTCACGAACTCTGTCTTGCATTTGACACTCTTTAAATATTAAAACATTTATTTGGTCAAAATTTTTAAAAAAATTATGAC